TTAAACTTACACAGTTTCTTTTTTTCGCCTGTAGTTTTAGAAGAGCTTCGCAGTACAATTAATACCATCAAAGATAAATCCTCATCTGGGATCGACGGGCTAACTTTAAAAATGTTTTCGAATCTGCCAGAAAGAACTCTGAATCACCAAACCAAACTACTTTAATAAACATGTCACTCCAAAATGGTATTTTTCCAAAATGTCTTAAAACGGCTATAATCATTCCTCTGCATAAAGGAGAAGACAAAGATCAAGCTTCTAACTATCGCCCAATTGCACTCCTTCCAACGCTATCTAAAATCATAGAAAGGTTGGTTAAAAGAAGGCTGGTATCTTTTCTGTTTAAGTACAAGTCCACAAATGACGCTATGTTTTCCCTCCTTAATAAAGGTTACTCCAGCTTAAATAACCATCATTCTACAGCAACAATTTTCTGTGATTTTTCTAAGGAGTTCAACTGTGTAAATCAACCTCGACTGTGTCAAGATCCTAATTATATAATAAACTGCAGCACTATGGGTTCAGGGAAACATCTCTCGAATGGTTTAAGTCGTATCTGGGCAAAAGAATTCAACTTGTGAGGGTGGATACCACGTTGTCTTCTAGCAAGCCAATAGAATGTGGAGTATCATGCAGGGCTCAGTATTAGGCCCTATTTTGTTTCTTCTTTTTATTAACGACATTGCTAACATAAACATCAGTGGTAAAATATGTCTTTTTGCGGACGACACTAGCTTCACTTGGAGTAACAAGGACATCACGGCACTTTATAGGATTATATCAAATGACTTAATCACCATTAAATCTTGGTGCGATTTGAACCTCCTGAGTCTCAACATTTCTAAAACTAAAGCTTTGTCGTATAAAAACTCGCTGCAGCCTTTTGTACCTAACAACACCACCATTGACGACGTAAAATCTGTAAAATTCTTAGGGCTTGTTGTAGACAATTCTCTGAAATGGGACATGCATATGGACACTTTGTCGAAAAAATTAAGTTCTGCCTGTTTTGCATTAAGATCTGTTTCTAAGGAGCTTAACTTGTCAGTGGCTAGAGCTGTTTATTATGCACTTTTTGAGTCGTACCTCAGATATGCTCTTCCATTCTGAGGTACGTGTGGTGCGACTCAATTTGACCGCATTTTCAAGCTCCAGAAGAGAGCTGTTCGATATTCACTGGGACTAAACAGCAGAACTCATTGCCAGGACTTTTTTAAAAAATTAAAATATTAGCTCTTCCTTCCTTATTTATATTTGAATCCGTTTGCTTAATACGTAAGCATGTATCAGCTTCTCAAGAAAGGCCATCTCACAGTTATCCACTCAGGAACGCGGAGCAAGATCTTTATCTACCTACCCCACGCTCAGAGTTAGTTAAAAGTTCAATATTATACAACTCGAAAAAAATGCATAATCCTCTGCCATTTGAAATCAAATCCATAACATCATTTTCTTCATTTCGCAAAGCATTGAAGTCTTATTTACTAGACAAGGCTTCCTACGTCCAACGTAAATGACTTATATTTTGATAATAGAATTTGATTTTGTAAACACTGGTCTAATGTTTGCTATTACCATATTTACCAGTGACATCGAAATAAATTTATTTAGAGGTCATTGATATTTACTGTAAACTTACTAAATATTTTTGAATCTTATTTTTATTTTTTTATTCTGTGACATTTAAAAACATTATATTTTTTAAAAAATCAACAAAAACACAGAAAAAATCCAGTGGTCCTCCAAATTAAACCAAAAAGTATTTTTTTTAAATTTCAAAGTAAAATAACTCCATCTACTTTAACTCTCGAGAAAATAATTTTCATTTATCATGTTTTACCAGCCTTGAAAATATTGACATGTTTCAAAAAGGTAAATATCTAGTATCTTAAATAATATAGATGTGATTATTTAAACTAAATCAACGTTTAATTTATTAAATCCAATTATCGGTTAATACAGGAGATCAATTAATCTGGACGTTTCAGCGCCACACGAAAAACAGTAGACAATGCAAAATGCGTTGAATTGGCGGAAAAATGATTATTTGGAGTAATTACTGTACAGCGCCTATTGTAAACCTACAAAATGGACGTACACATAGAAAGCATTATTCGTGTTTATAAATATCAAATGCGTGCGAAATATCGGATAATTTTACGAATATGAATTTTAATAGCATTTGGAATTTTCGGATATAACATTTTATGAGCTATATAGATTATTTACGAGTATTTTGTGTCTGCATTTTGCATATCTAAATACTGTCCATTTAATGGATGCTTTAAATAATAATTGTTATAATACCATATGATCGAAAAAAGAAACGGCATTCAGGACGGCTGGGAAATGACAATCGATGATAATTTTGGCGAAGTCAAGCCCTAGACGTTAAGCCAATGAAAATTGGTGTCTGGGAGATTTTTGACATGAAAAATTTAATTTTGATGTCAATATAAGTCCTATTTGTAGGGGGCGCTACCTACATATGTTTTAACTGCTTTGAAGGGTAATAACTTTTCGTCCGTACCTGTATAAAACTACTGAGTAAAAAAACATATATTTCTGTGATTTTTTACGTAAAACATGTCTCTTGGTAAAGATAGCTACGAGCAACCGTTCTCAAGATATTTAGGATGGTAATAGTCAATAAATTATTGACAAAAAATAAACATTTTAAGTACAGGGTGGGTCAAATTCGACGCTTTTAAATGGAAACACCCTTTTCTATAGGAGATAGACGAAAACTAATATCGGTGTCTGGAGCTCAATTTTCATCAAAAACATGATGGTAAAAACCGCACATTAATATCTGTTACCGTTTCGGAGTTACGGGGTGTTTTTCAAAAATGTGCATTTTTAACAAATCGCTGTAACTTTTTTGCTATGAAAAATTTTGTATTTCTATGCAAACATTTCCGAAGCACCTTTTTACGTAGAATTTAATTGTTTTAGTATAATTTTTTTTAAATTAATAATTTTAGAGTTATCAACAGAAAATTTGATTTTTTATATGGGACAACCTGTATATTTATAATTTATTGAAAAGAATTTAAAATTACCTTTCCAAAAATATAATACACTTGATATTTTGCTCGATTCCGCTTCGAGATATAGAGTATATAAAAATTCGCCCGCTTTAAATAAGTAGGCTATGAACGGCACCGACTGTAATGCAAAAAAATTCTAGCTGTGAGCATCAATTAAAACGAAAATAATATTTGCTATGAGAGATGCAGAATTTTATAACAATTTAAAATATATTTAACCAACATCAACACATTTAAACTATATCTCATAACAATAAAAATAAATAGCAAACCAGGTCATGAGATTTTGCTACAGGTGTTCGACATATCGACCGTCTTCTGTTATGGACAGACGGGGCAGTTTTTGAACATTTCTCGCGGAATTCATTAACTCAGTGTGGGTGAAAGATACACTCTCATAACTGCTAAGTATTTCTAATTCTTGTCTAGATTATACAGAAGAATAAGGAACCTTTATTCTTCCGCAAATATATCCATAGGATTAGATCCATGGGCACCAAGTCAGGCGGCCTCGGCGGCCAACGGCTGGGTTCTTGGTTAGCTATTCAATTATTCTTGAAATTGGCTGCAGAAATTTGCTCATAACTTTAGCGTTCAGAAGCGGTGCGTCGTCTTGCTGGAAAAATATGTTTTCGAGTTCCATTAAGGGCATATCATCAATGAGGGGTCCAAAGCCTACTAGTTAAAAGTGGCGAACTTTTGAAAAATCTGTATTTCGAAGGGCATTATAACAAAATATCAAGTATGCTATATTTTTGGAAAGGTAATTTTAAATTCTTTTCAGCTAATTAAAAATATATAGGGTGTCCCATATAAAAAATCAAATTTTCTGTTGATAATTCTTAAATTATTAATTTTAAAAAAATTATACTTAAACCATTAAATTCTACGTAAAAAGGTGCTTTGGAAATGTTTGCATAAAAATACAAAATTTTCCATAGCAAAAAAGATACAGCGATTTGTTAAAAATGCATATTTTTGAAAAACACCCCGTAACTCCGAAACGATAAAAGATATCGATGTACGGTTTTCACCATCATGTTTTTGACAAAAATTGAGCTCCAGACACCAATATTAGTTTTTGTCTATCTCTTATAGAAAAGGGTGTTTCCATTTAAAAGCGTCGAATTTGACCCACCCTGTACATAGTCATTTGACTGAAATGATACATTCGGAAACTTTATTTTTTTAAATTAATCATAAATTTTTCTTCGAAAAAACGGTGATAAAACAGTTTCAGTTGAACTTTTGGCACGAAAACATTTGAAATTTATAATTTCAGTCTAATAACTATTTAGTCAACACGCATGTTTAATTTATGTCAATGATGACAGGTATTGATATAACTCAGATTACAAATATCTCGACAACCATTACTCGTATCAATTTTTACCAAGAGACCTTTTTTGCGTAAAAAACTAAATTGTAATTTTAATTGTATATTTTTTACCCAGTAGTTTTATACAGGTACGGACGAAAATTTATTACTCTTTAAATTAGTTAAAAAGTATGTAAGTGGCGTCCTCTACAAGTAGGAGTCATAGTGACACCAAAATCAAATTTCTCATGTCAAAAAACTTCCAGACACCAATTTCCATCCAAATATTGACGTTGCTTCAGAAATTATTTAGAAAAAATCGAAATAAAAATGAAACTTCTACGCCCTGTATTTCCGAAACTAAGAATATTTGGGCATACATTTATACGAACTTTTTTACTTATTTTTATCTGCAGAATATGCTGCCAAAATTTCCGGAATACAGTTCGGACCACCTTGTATATTATAGCACAGCTTATTCAGTAGTCAGCTGGCCATAGCTCGTTTTTCAGTATCTAGTGTCGTAGTAAGTAGATTTCTATGCAAATAATCGAAAATTCGGCAGGCTGGTTACGAATAGGCTGTGATTATAGATAGTAATTCTGATTTGAAATATATTTTTGTTATTTTAGAGCCCTAGACTTTGTAAGCAGAATTCAGCTGGAGCAGCAGATCTGGAGAAAATTGAAGAGATACCTTTGAGGATTCCGTCAGCGACTCCTTCGATTTCGTCACAGATTCAGTCTTCTCTCTCTATTTCTGTTGATTCTTTAATCCGATAAAATGAGAATATCTTTATTTTTGCTCAAAATATACAGGGTTGTCCACCACAAACCACACGGAGTATTGTAGCTAAACAATTATTAGATTTTTACAAATTGCAAGTTTTGGGTTTGTTGAAGGGCTATTAATGCTACAATTTAAAAATATTTTTAGAAGGTACAGAGTGTCCCAAAGAAGTAAAAAATATTATAGTTTCATTTTTTTAAATGGAACACCTTTATATTATTCTATTTTTAGATTCTACGATCAGGGGCACTAAATTCTATTCTTTGGCAAAAAAATATAAATACCACAACAAAAACCCGCATATATGACACTATAGTTAAGAGCACACTTACTTATGGCGCTGAAGTATGGCAGATGAGCAAGTCTTATCAAGTTTTAGCAACTGAAATAGACTTCCTCAGAAGATCGGCAAGAAAATCAAAATTGGAAAAAGTGCGAAATGAAGAAATAAGAAGAATAACGAAGAAAGAGATAACCATCATAGAGGAAATCCAAAAAAAACAATTAATCTGGTATGGGCATGTAAACAGAATGGGAGAAGAAAGCCTACCAAAGAATATAATGAAATGGATCCCAACTGGAAAAAGAAAATGAGGAAGACCCCGAGAGACATGGTTAAAGGGGGTAACAAAGGCAATGTCATTGCGCAATTTACAAGCCCATGACTGGATGGACAGAAGGCAATGGCGGCAAGGAACCGGAAGGCGGATCACGCTATAGAACCGGAAATAAGATTCTACGATTGAAATTGTAAATTTGAGGTTTATCACACTTAACCCTTGCGGTATTTGAAATATTTTCAATTTTATGAAATTGCACAAATAAATCTAAAATGTCAATATTCCATGGGTATAGTGATAAATGAGATCTAAATTATAAGAAAATGCATTTTCTACGAAAACTTGAAGAGATATGTAAAATATGGTATAATTCAATTTGATAGACAATTAAATTGAATTGTGCATCTTATTCTCGTAAAATATACAGGGTGTTTCATTTAAATTAAACAAGTTATTGCCGTTTAAAGCTAGTAATTATTTAATATAAATTTTTAGACACTCTGTATAAGGTAGTATTTTGTTGATTATTGCAACACAATATCTGATCAATAAATAAACTGCAGTAAATATTTAGTATTAAAAACTTCGATACCTTTGGAGAAATGAAGCCTTAAAATTTTTATTGCAATTTCATAAAATTGAAAATATTTCAAAAACCGTAAGGTTTAAGTGTGACAAACCTTAATCAAATTTACCTTAATTTCAATCGTATAATCTAGAAATAGAATAATATACAGGGTGTTTCATTTAAAAAGATACAACTATAATATTTTTTACTCATTTGGGACATCTGTATCTTGTAAAAATATTTTTATATTGTAGCTCTAATAGTCCTTCAACGAACCCAAAACTTACAATTTGTAAAAATCTAATCGTTTGGCTACAATACTCCGTGTCGTATGTGGTGAACAACCCTGTATATTAATCTTAAAAGAAGAAGTACATTTAAAAGAGCACATATTAAAGTGAAACTAATTTTTTCACACAACAGATTCTCAAAACTTATATGATTTATTTTATAGAAGTTTTGAACTTAATAAATAGAAATTACTGTATGATCGAAAAAAAACGGCGTCAAAGAGGGCTAGGGAATAACAATGACGATGATAATTTTGGCGAGGTCAATATCTACACGTCATTTACCGAAAATTGACATAAAGCTGGTCAAAAATTAACACTAATTATAGAAAGATTAAAAAGGAAAAGAACATTTATTATTTGTGCTTGAGCATGGGCTAATGGCGTCTAGAGATTGACCTCGCTAAAATTCAATGATCATTCCCCAGCTGCCTTTGGCGCTCTTTTTTTGTCAATCGTATGGTATATAAAGTGATTTATTATAATACTACATAAGTGTGACATTTTCAACGATTAAAAGAAAATTCAACATTTTTGTTAACTACATTTTTTCAATGGAAAAAACACGCTTAAAAATTGATAATACATTTGTTTTCAACTGTGATGTGATTAAAGCACAACTAGATAATTATTATTTAAATTTTAAATGATGTTTATTAAGCATCAAAAAATAGTCCTCTAAGGCTTCATTCAAAACCTCTAAATTGGTGGTTTCAATTATACTTTATACTATGAGTTTACGATCATCCACAATGTCTTAAAAAAATACAATTAAAATTAATAGAACAACACACTGTAGTCAGTTGGGTCCATAGAGAAAGCCTAATAATGAGCTTATAAAGCAATAAACTTATTTTGAAACCACAATTCCTCTTGATGGATAATAATCAAAGGCCAAAATGACATTACTCGCAAATTCTTAAGTAAAATTAGTGGAAAAAGGTAAAAGTTTAGTATCTTCTTCTACTAATTGAAATTACTACAACTAATTTTGACCTTCTAAATTCTTGCATTGAAATTAGAGGAAAGCTATTTGAAACAACTAATTTATTCCACTAATTTCAGAATGAAGCTTTATAAAGATTCTAATGACGCTAAATAAAATTATTGTTTTTTGTTTATAACAAATATATGTAATATTTATTTTACTGTAGTATAAAAGCATAGAGTAAAAGAATAGAGAAAATATGTCTTTATTTTCTGATAATTACCCCTTGAGTACAATTATTAATAAAAGTATAAAATATAAGTAAAACATTTTTTTAGAATTTTAAAAGTATTTTTTTAATAGAGATTATTTTTTATAAAGTAAGTATTTCAGTATTTTTATATGTTACTTTATTTTCTCAAATTAGGATGACTAGAAGCAGAAAGCAGACTTAAAAAGCATCAAATAATTTAGTTGTATAGTAGAATTTAGTAAAATGTTTTAGTGACTTAGAAATTATATATTTTTTCAGTACAAAACAAATCATTAAACTAAATATGTAATCAGTCATCACTTAGGTGATATACTTAGGTTTTACTATGTATAATTGTTATCTGTTATTCACATATTTTGTAGATGCAAATTTTATGTGATCCCTTGTTAGTGATATTACCTACTGGGTAATCTAGTCAAATTATATTATTTATTAGACTAAATTGTTCTTTATAAAATGGAAGATATTTTATACTACTATTTTTTAGTTTTAAGATTATATGAAATGGTTACTATAAAAATCAGTAATCATTAAAATGAATATTTATTTTTAAAAAGAAAAAAAATAATACTAATTACATACACTAGAAGCATTGAACAGCAATTATAATAGATTTGTTACATTTGTATAATTTACATATTACTTATTTTTATTGTTAGAATATGAAATGCAAATAATGTTTATACATTTTCACTTAGTTTTGTATTTTTTCTAGAGACTAAGCTATACCGTTGAAAGCTTTAACAATACTAATTATAAGATATGTGTCTGAAGTTTGTAAATTTAAAACTCCCTTCACAAATTTTAAATGTGGTAGATAACATCGATAATACAAGTCACTCTATTTTTTTTTCAAACTTTTTTTTTTTAATTTTGCTCTTTTATTAAGTATATTACTTAATATTTTTTTTACTACTGTCAGTTTTATTCTTTCTATTATATTCTTTCTTGCAATTTTGTTAACTCTATTTTTCGTCATTTTTTTTGAGCAAAAGATAAGCAATTTTTAACACGAATGTGTCCTTTTTCAAAAGACTTGAATTATACACACCTTTGCTGTTTTTTTTCGATGTTCTTGGTGTTTTTAGGTGTTATTCAAATTATAAATGTGTATAGGGTGTTAGCTGTATTCCAATATAGTTGTGAATAAAAAAGACTATTTCGAATTTATATGATAATTTTAGGCTGCAGACCTATCTGTTTTGCATGAATATTTTTCAAAATAAATCAATTATTAGATGGATATTGATTTTAATATCTACCGTATGATCGAAAATAAACGGCGCCAACGGCTGGAGAATGACAATCGATGATAATTTTGGCGAGGTCAATCTCTAGACGTCATTTACTAAAAATTGACATAAAACTTATCAAAAATTAACGCTAATTATAGAAATATTAAAAAAGGATAGAACGATTCCAGATACACAAATCTATTTCCAAAAAATTACTTTTTCTCGAATTTAAACTAAGTACACCACTTAAAATTCATTTTTACTCAATATAAAAATAAATTACTACCTTCTTAAAGCCAACTGGCAGTATACAGGGTGTTTCAAAACAATGCGAAAAACTTCAGGGGGTGATTCCTTGTTCAAAATAAAGGGTAGTTTGCTTTATAAACGTTGGGTCAAAAGTCAACCATTAGGGAGGTACAAAGATGGCGGAAAAATAATGTTTTTATTTTTATCTTGAAAACGAAAAGAGATAGACTAATGAAATTTTACGGAAGCATTACTGTTATGAAAACACACTTTCTGGTAATTTTTTCACTTTTTTAAATGAGTGGAAGGGGTTGAAATAAACTACCCCTATCATTCTTGTTAATGAAATTTAAAGAAAAATCTTATCAAACACATGCAAAAAAAAAAAATTTTGATAGTTTAGTTTATTTAGAAACTTTTTTATCTCTTGTGTTTTTTTGATAAAACTCACCGATTTGAAATTAAAAAATAAAATGTAAAGCATTACATGTCAGGACAAAAAACATTTTTAGATAAAGAATCTAGTGGGCAGCTGTAATTTTTTTAGGAAAAAATCTAGTCGGCCGCTGTCACTTTTTAGAATGTTTCTAATATTGTTTTATTTGACATTACCCTATTGCAATACGTTATTATCTAGATTATTATTATTATCATTATTATCACTAGATTCTTAATCTAAAAATATTTTTGGTCCCGACATGTAATGCTTTACATTTTATTTTTTAATTTCAAATCGGTGAGTTTTATAAAAAAAATACAAGAGATAAAAAAGTTTCTAAACAAACTAAATTATCCAAATTAATTTTTTTGCATGTGTTTGATAAGATTTTTCGTTAAATTTCATTAACAAGAATGATAGGGGTAGTTTATTTCAACCCCTTCCACTCATTTTAAAAAAGTGAAAAAATTACCAGAAAGTGTGTTTTCATAACAGTAATGCTTCCATAAAATTTCATTAGTCTATCTCTTT